CACTCTTCAGCCTGAGTCCCCCGCCCCACGATGGTGAATTTTGTAGGAATTTCACAGCTCAGCCTGAGAATGGCTCAGAGGGTAAAGAATCTGCCTGTGATGCAGGAGACACAGGAGACATGGGTTTGATCCCTGGGTCAGGAAGATCCCCTGAAGGAGGAAATGACAACCCATTCCAGTATTCTTGCCTGGAGAATCCCAAGGACAGAGAAGCCTGGCGGGCTACAGTCCATGGGGTCGCAAAGAGTCAGACATGACTGAGCGCATAAACTCAACTCACACATACTGGGGGGAGGGATGGACACAGAGCTGCCTCAGAAATAGGAGAAACAGGAGTAAAAATAGGAGCCCATGGGGGGGCGGGCCGCAGCGCGTCATCTGGGCCAGCCTGGGACCCTCCTTTCCCAGTCATGATGCCACCTGGCAGCCCCGGCCAGGCGCCTGGTGCTGGCGAGGCTCCGGGGACGGACTCCGAGGTGGGCACACAGGGGGCGCCACCCGAGGCCGCCCTTGGGAGCCCCCGCCGCCTCCAAGGTCTGGAAGCATCCTCCAGGGGTGGCCCTGATGGCCTGGCTGGGCCTTTCTGCAGAAGCATCAGCGGGGGACGAGCAAGGGGGTGGGGAGCAGAGCAGAGAGGACACAGAACGCGTGGCCAGGGCAGCGGGCAGCGGGGCAGACGGACGGCAGACGCAGGCGCACATGGTTCCCGCGGGCGAGGCTGTGTGCTCACATGTGGACAAACGCTTGCCAGCGGGCACTGAGCCGGGAGAGCCCGCAGGAGAACAGCGTGGAGAGGAGTGGCCTGCCTGGAAACCATCGCGTGGGTCTGCATCGTGCTGGGAAAAACCTGGAGCCTGGGTCTGTGGCGACCGAGGCAAGAAGACTGGGAGCTGCCGTTTGTCATGTCGGCCGCGGGCCCTGGGGCGCCCTCCTCTGCCCGCCTCCCTCTCTGCCAGCTGCCCCAGGGCGGTGGTTACAGCGGCTCAGAAGTGAGCTGCTTCGCCCAAGCACAGATAGCTGCCAATCGGAATGGCGGGGTGTGTCACACGGTGCACTGCTCAGGGCTGGGGGGCGGGGGCTTCCCCAGGCCAGCCTCCCGCCCGTGGCCCCACTGGCTGTCACCCTCGGCTCTGAGGGTGGGGGGGGGCCCTGATGTGGCTCAGGGCCCCGGGGGCTCACACCTGGCAGCAGGGAAGTCAGCCCGCAGCCTTGGGGACGGCCTTGGGGGCTGTAGGATAGGAACCCAAGGTACAGCAGGAGGGCAGAAAGGAGCCAGCGCTTCGCGTCGTCCACAGCGGCTGTGCAGGGGAACGTTCTAGGAAAGCTTCAGAGAACGAGGCTGAGAAGGGTCTTGAGGGACAGGCAGCAGGCTAACAGGCAGAGGGGAGCGGGAGGGATGGTGCTCGCTGCCGATGCCCTGATGGCCCAGGGCCTGGCCTCCCTGCACCCACTCGCTCTGCCAGGAGACTTGCAGCTTCTCCTAGCCTCCGATGCCGGACGCCCTTGATGCTTGCTTTGACTGAGGGCCGCAGCAGCAGGGTGCCAGCCCCTAGCCCAAGCTGCGAGAGGACTTACACGCAGCCTCCTGCCCTGGTGGACGACAGCCTCCTCTGCGCGAGTGGCCTGGGCTAGCCTCCTGGAGGAGGGGACGCCACGTGGAGCAGAGGCTGGTCACCCAACTGCCCCAGCTGAAGCCCTGGCAGCTGAGCATCGAGTGAGCCAATCAAAAGAGCTGCCTCACCCGCATCCGGCTCCCAGGCTCAGTTGCTGAGGAAACACACACACCTAAGCAGGAGTGGTGTGGTTTGTTACACGGCATGACTGCCAAAGAGATATCTACACACGTTCAGGGTGGGGACCGGGAAGACAGGGCTTGGAGGTGGAGCATTCAGGGCATCTGGAGGTGGTGAGCAGCTCAGACTCTCTGGTTCAAAGGGAAGACCAAAAGCATCCCTCCAGCCAGGGGCCTTGGAACCTCCAGAGCAGCTGACCTGGCCGACTGCTGACTGATGGATCAAGTGAGTATCTGATCATCCGGCTCACTGGCCACCAGCTGGACCACTATCTCATGAGCTGACCAGTTGAATGCCTGCCAGGTTTGCAGACAAACAGGCCAGCCTATTTGATGTCAGCCCATTTTTGTCCAATTTGCCTGTGGCCAGGCCTTTGAAACACCTATCAAAAGGCTGCTTCCACCTTCTGGGTGGATCCTGCCCGCTGGTGACTTCAGCACCTCACTCGTGTCCTCTATTACGGACTGAAAGTTTGTGTCTCCCTCAAATTCATGCACTGGAATCCTAACCTCCAAAGTGATGGTGTTAGGAGGTGGGAGCCTCTGGGAGGTGATCAGGTCACAAGGGTGGAGCCCTCGTGAATAGGATTAGTGCCCTTATAAAGAGGACCTCAGAGCTCTCTCTGCGTCGCTGCCACACAGAAATACATGAGAAAACGGCTGTCTGCAACCCAGAGGAGGGCCCTTGCTAGAACCCAACCACGGTGGCCCCTGATCTCAGACTCCCAGCCTCTAGAGCTATGAAAAATAAACGTCTGTCTGCTCAGTCACCCAGTCTGTGGTATTCTCTTACTACTGAGTGGACGAAGATGCCTTCTGGGCGTCCAGTGCTCTGATGGCCTCATGGGGCTGGTGATGCCTGCTGCTGTAGGTGCTACATGGGAGGGGGGGTCACAGGAGCCTGAAGACACGGTGGGGCAGCACCAGGACAAGCATGGTCAGGGGCCTTCCACGGCCCCCTCCTTTGCTGGAGCTGGAGCTGAAACGCACCCCTGAAGTCGTCTGGTCTGACCCGAATGCAGGGAGGAGGGGAGCCACGCAGGGCACCCTGGCTTCCCAGCCGGGCGGACGGCCGTCGAGCGCCTGTGTCCCCTCCAGGCCCTGCACACCCTCCCTGAGACTTCGTCATCAGTCCCCCTCCTCCTCTGCCTTCTGGGCCCGGTCTCCCACCACCCCTGCTTCTGTCTCAGGGCCGCCCAGGAGGCCTGGGGTGGGAGCCCAGCCTGCCCCGCAGAGGACGAGGCCATTCTGGAGGGAGAGGCCGCTCCTTCCCCTTCCCCACTCTGCACCCCATCCTTCTCCTCTGCCAGCCTGTCCTGCCCCTGGCCTGACTTTACTGAGGAGTCAGCGAAGTTCACCACCGGGGTACAGTGATGCCGGGGTGGGGGGAGGCTGGGGAGTGGGGAAGGCGCCCTGGGGCCTGGAAAGACCCCGAGTGTGGAGTCACCCAGCCCCAGTCCTGGCACGGCCTCAAGAGGCCTCGGTGTCTCCACTGACCCAGAGGAAGAGGGGCTGAAGCGTCCGGGGGCTCTGAGACCTGGTCCAGACCCCCGGCCTGAAGTTTCTGGGTGTCGCCCCCTGAAGATCTGCATCTGGGCAGGGAAGGAGGCCCCCTGTGGCGGGGGCAGTGACACTGCACGCCAGTTCTCCGCCCCTGCCCAGTGGCTAAGACCCCCCAGGGCCCTGAGTGAGGCCCAGAGAGGATCCAAGACCATGGCTGAGTCCACAGCTGAGAAGAGGCCGAGGCCAGACCGGGCCTGGAGTCCCTGTCTCGGGCCCTCTGACGCGCTCTCTGTAAGAGACACAGCCCAGGGTCACCCGCACAACAGTGAACTTCTGGCAGAAGTGCAGGTAGGAAGTAGGTGGGAAAACAGGCTAGTTCAGCCCTAGGCCAGAGGGCCAAGGCCAGCGTGGGAGGGGCTAGAAGGGAATTCCTAAAGGAAATCACCCTGAATACTCATTGGAAGGACCTCCCAGATGGCTAGGCGGAGGCAGCGCAAGAGGCGCAGGAGCTGCGTGTTGGATCCCTGGGTCCGGAAGACCCCTTGGAGGACGGCGCGGCAACCCACTCCAGTGTTCCTGCCGAGCCCCACGGACAGAGGAGCCTGGCGGGCTGCAGTCCACGGGGTCGCACAGAGTGGGATACGACTCGAGTGACTTAGCACGCACATTCACTGGAAGGACTGACGCTGAAGCTGGAGCTCCAATACTCTGACCCCCTGATGCGAAGAGCCGACTCACTGGAAAAGACCCTGATGCTGGGAAAGACTGAAGGCAGGAGGAGAAGGGGGCAGCAGAGGATGAGATGGCTGGATGGCATCACCGACTCGATGGACATGGGTTTGGGTGGACTCCGGGAGTTGGTGATGGACAGGGACCCCCTGCGGTCAGGAAGTCGCAAAGAGTTGGACACGACTGAGCGACCGGAAAACAACTGCCTGTGCCCCAGAAAGTGCAGTTGGGGGGGGGGGGATGGGTAGTCTGAGGTCCCTGTTTGTGAGGAGGGTGAGGAAACGACCCTGTGTCCTGACTCTGGCTTCAGCTGGAAGTGGCTTTTTGCAACACAGTCTCTCCCTCCCCAGCCTCCCCCTCAGCCAGGCTGCCCGCGAGCCCCGGGGGTCTCTGGTGGGGCCCAGGGAGCAGAGGCACTGGCTCCAGGCCGTCCAGAGTCAGGTCCCGGCCTTCCCCAGGGCACCTCTCCGTCCCTCAGCTTCCCCACCTGTAAAAGGGGCAGCTCGACAGGGATGCCCGCACGGGGCTGGGGCAGGACGAGGCCCTGGGGAGCAGGGCACCTGCTTGGCTTCCCCGGGCAGAGGGCAGCAAGCAGGGGCCCCGGGTTCTCCTGGCACGGGGCTCTCACCCTCTCCTCTGCTCGGGTTTCCACCCCCAGCCTCTCCGGTCCCTCTCCCTCGGGTCACTTGAGAGACTTTTAAAGAAGCACAGTGATTATTTCTCAGGCAAAGCCAGGTCCTGGGAAGCTGCTGGCGGCCGGCCTCACTTTCCTGACTCAGACCCGCAATTCATCGCGCCATCTGGAGCAGGTGTCGGAGCCTCGTGCAGAACTCTGCCCCGCTCTCAGCTCAGCCCCCTCCCCGGGTCAGGCTGTCCCGCAGGCGGCGGCAGGGTGCCCGTCCCTCTAACCCCTCAGGTGCTGGGAGCCCGCCCCCCGGCCGGCTCTGGAGTGGCAGGGAGGGCAGCCAATGAGCACGCGGGCCACCACGCATTACATCATCGCCGTGGGCCCCCATTGGTCGAAAGCGCGACCTTCTGGGCCCTCCCCCGCGGCCTGGACGGCTGGCCTCGTGCGCCCCAGGCGCGCAGAGCGCTGGCGCTGGGCTTGCGGACTGGCGGGGCCCACGGGGGTCCAGGCTGTCGCCAGGCCTCAGCTTCCTCCTGCGGAAGAGGGGCGAGTTTCTCCCGTCCTCCCCACTGCCCGCCTCCTAGAGGACCCCCAGGACCGGGGTCTACCCGGGTTCCTCACCAACACCCTCCTGGCCGGGCGGGGGCACGGGACAAGGGGGCGGGGGTGGAGACGAGGGTCTTGTCCAGGCCGCTCCCCCTTTCATCCCCAGAGCCTGGCAGGACGTTTAATAATGGTCAGCGCTGACTGACCGTTTTTCTAACTGGCAGACGTTGTCCGGAGCCTTATATATCACTTTACTCATTTTATGAACGTTAACTCCCCACTGACATTGAGGCTGGGTGAGGACGATTGTCCAAGGTCATGCATGAGACTGGTGAGTGGGAAAGCCAGGCTTCGCACCCAGGCAGGCTGGCTCCAAAGCGTGCCTGTGCGCCTGGCTCAGCGGTGCCCAGCCCTTGCAACCCCATGGACTGTATGTCCCTGCCAGGCTCCTCTGTCCATGGGATTCTCCAGGCAGGAATACTGGAGTGCATTGCCATTTCCTCCTCTCGGGGGTCCTACCGACCCAGGGATGGACCTCTCTTGTGTCTCCTGCACTGGCAGACGGATTCTTTACCTCTGCACCATCTGGGAAGCCCTGGCTCCAGAGCCCTTAATCTCAAAGCCATGGGAATGAAGGGCCAGCTCTCCCCGCTGTGCCTGGGTTAAGCTCCCTGGCAGTCTTCGGCAGGAGCCTTCCCCTGCCTGCTTGTCAGAGCAGGGCTATTCTCTGAACTGTCAGTGAGCCCCCGGGTAGACCCGGAAAAGCTGTTGCTGGGATTTGAGGAGTTTGGTCCTGAGATGTCAGGATGCATTTCAGCTCTTCTGCCACCCCAGGGATGGGGGTGCATAAACCCCAGCAGGCTGGCTCATGGCAGATCAACTGTGGCGTTCGATGGCGGCGTGTCGCTGCCTCCTCTCTGCCTGCCTCCCTCCGCGTTCTCCCCACCTGTCTTGGCTCTTGTTTGAACCTTACAGTTTCTCCTGTGTGATCCTGAGAACACTGTGTCTACTATCTGGGCCTGACATCTGCTCACCTGTACCAGGAGAGGGCCGGGATGGATGCCCTCACACCCAGGAAACCTGCAGGGCCCCCCCAGTGCCCTCTGCCTGCGCTCTCTGGCATCTGGGCCTGTGCCCGGTGGTTTTGAGTCAGATGCAGTTTTTGGGAGTGCAAGACCAGGGAGAGGGTACAAGTGTCTGAATGCTTAGTGGGACCAACAGCTCTAACCTTAGGGAAGCTTCTGTGGAGTCAAGCTTGGTGACTTCAGACGTGAACGTCTGACCCGTTTCCCCACTGCTTCCTGGTGGGTGCTGCAGAGAGCAGCGAAGAGTGACTCAACTCTGACCAAGTGCTGGGCGTTCAGAAGAGAGTGAGGCCTGGTGGGGGCCCATTCGGTTCAACAGACAATGTTGACGTTGTAGGTAAGTGTGAGCGCAGGGAGGGGGTGTCCGAATCCGCCTGGGGGCCTGAAGGGAAGGGTGCTTTGAGGGTAAGGATGCAGCCCTTGGCTGAATCTTAAAGCAGATCAGAAGCTTGCCAGCCAGACGGGGGCTGGGGAGAGGGCTGACAATCATTCTTACATTCATTCATTTATTCAGGTTATATCTTCTGGATTATATATAGAAGGGCATGTTGCAGAAGAAATGCAAGTATCAGGAGAAGGGAGGACTGGGGACTTTTGAAATTCAGAGTTGTCTTCGCCTTAGGTGTCAGAATTCATCTCCATGTAGAGACGCTTCTGGGGGAGCCGGTCCCAGCATCATGGAGGGCCAGGAGGGAGCTCGGCCTTCTCTTCCTTGGCAGGCCTGCCCGTCGGGTGCTGCCCTTCACAGCACCGCTCCCCTCCCCCGCCCCCCCCCCCCCCCCGCCCGCCACCACCACTGCACGGCCAGTCCATCCAGTGTCTGTGAGCTGCTCCAGAAGGACGCCACTGCGAGGAGGCTCTGGAAGCCACGTATCCTAGCAACCTCTGGGGCTGGCGTCCTCAGGGCGAGGCCCAGCTCAAGGTTGTTCTCTTCTTCCAGCCTTCCACTAGTGTGTATCCCCCATGGGCTTGAGGGGCAGGCTGGGGGGAAGAGGAGAGAGGTGGACGGGAAGTGTAGCATCCAGCCCCGTCCTAGCCTGGATGAGGCCTCTCAAGCAACACGGCCAGGGCCGGGGGTGGGGTGGGGGCAGGGAGGAGAACAAGAGAAGTCCTTTAGCTGAATATTGCCATCTGTCTGTCACCAAGGTCAGTTTACAGCCATTTAGAACACAGTGAATCTAGGCGGTGATTGTCAGTGACAGCTAACATCATAAAATGATGACAACTGGAAATTATTTTTATTTTCCTTCTGATGGAAGACCACAGCACCATCTATGAAATACTCCTGCCAAAAAACTTAAAAAAAAATCAAGCCTGAATCTGATCAAGCCTCTAGAGGTAACTCCAAGTTACAGGGACTGCAGCCAGATCCTATCTAAAGGAAGAACACTATAGATTTCATCAACAAGAGATTGTTAAGAAAAAGAATAAAGGAAAATAAAAATAACCTCAAATGAAACAGAAGGGGAACTTATAGATGAACTTAACAGAAGCTCAAGAGAAATATCAACCCATGATAACATATGAACTTTATTTGGATTCTGATTCTTACTAATAAACAACAATGACAGTAAAAGCCAAGACACTCATGGTCGAGTGATTAATTCTCTGCGCTTCCAACATCAGGGGTGTGGGTTCGATCCCTGGCTGGGAAAGCTAGCATCCCACATGCTGGGTAGTGTGGCCCAAAACAACAACAAACAAAATAAACAACCTCCCACCAAACAAAAAGACATTCATGAGACAACTGAGGAAATCTGAACACTGACTGGATATCTACTGATGTCAGTGAATGGTTTACTTTTAGGGGATGTTAAAATGGTTTAGGGATTATACTTAAAAAGAGTCTTGATTGTTCAGAACTACATACTGAAATATTTGTGGGTAAAATAATGATAGGTCTGGAATGTGCTTTAAAATAATCCATGGTGGGGGGTGGGTGGAGGTTTAGATAAAACAAGATTGGCCTCAAGCTGATTGACTGGTGATGGGTCTAGGGGATCATTATATTATAATATTAATTTATGCATGCACGCTCAGTCATGTCCCACTTTTTGTAGCCCCATGGACTGGAGCCCACCAGGTTCCTCTGTCCATGGGGTTTCCTAGGTAACAATTCTGGAGTGAGTTGCCACTTCCTCCTCCATGGGATCTTCCTGATCCAGGGATCGATCGAACCTGAGACTCTTGCATCTCCTGCCTTGGCAGGTGGATTCTTTACTACTGAGCCACCTGGGAAGCAATATTAATTTAAGTCATATGATATTGTTGCTATTTATTTAACCATTTTGGACCTTGACAATGGCAATTTCATATGATGCAAACTAATCCTTTGGTATATGTTTGAACTTTTTCATAATAAACACTTTTTTAGAGCTAAAAGAAAAGTCCAGTCCTGCTTTTCCAAGAGGAAAGAGGTATCCCAGGCTGGTGCTAAAATCTGTGGGACTGTTATGAAAAAAAGCTGAAACAACTCTCAGCGGCCTCTGTTGCCTGCATGAATTACTTCTGTTGAACTAATAATAATGGTAACAATATTATAACTTACAGACAACTGACAGCAGATGCTTAGTTACTTCAATGGGTATGTTGGCCCTGCAGAAGATGACATTGTGGATGTTTTAACTGCTTAGTAAGTAACAATAAAAAATTAAAGGAATCCAAACAAGCTGTAGATGGAGGATAAAATGAAAATTCTTCCTGCTTTTGAAAGAAGCCACGCTGGGTCGTTCCTGGAGCATAACCTGTCTCTGAGGAACATTGGCCTGAAGACCCCAAAGAGGGGGCAGTGTCAACTCCTGCTTCATCCCATGGTCTCTGCAAATCTCCCGGCTTTTGAAGCCACAGCCTTCGTCTCTGCCTATTTCTCAGACTTGTGGTTTCCTGTATCTGGAAAAGGCCCAGGTCACTCCTCTAAGTCCTTTATCTAGTTCCTATTTTTATCTTTATGCTGAGTTAATTACTCAAGCAACCAACAAGGTTTTATTTATTTCTTTTTAATAATGTCTTCTTTTTGTGGACCACTGTGCTGGGTGCTTTAAGGTGACACGGTTTCTTGTCACAGCAAGCTAATGGGTCAGATCCTAAGTCCACCTTTACTAGCTTTGTGGCCCTAGGCAAGTAATATTTAACCTTCATTTGAGCCTCCTTTTCCTTACCTGCAAACTGGGGGTAATGATAGTTAATACCTGCATACAGGGATCTTATGAGGATTAAATAAAATAAGGCAGGTCGGTGACCTAGTGTCTGGCACATTGTAAGGCTCAGTAAATGATAACTACCGCTATTATTATTTTTACATAAAACCTTGAATGTTTAACAGTGAAGATAAACTGGGTGGTTTTGGTGATGTGTGATATATCCTAGGGAACTGGTTTCACAAGGAAGTCTTGTACTAAGAAATTACTAAGTGCCCCTCACCATTTATTCTCCTCTTTTACGTTAATAAAGAAGCTAAGACTACATTTCCCAGCCTTCCTTGCTGCCAGACATGGCCATCTTATCTTATCTTATCTGGGAGGAGAGTCCCTTGCCCCGTTTTTTTGCTTCTGCTGGTGTGGAGTGTTGATGTGATGGTTGGGTCTCTAGCATCCTCTTTGGAGTGTGAACCGGTCTTGCAGATAGATAATGTGTACTGAGGATAATAGAACATGACAGGAGTCTGGATATCTGATGACTGTGGAGTCACCAGAAAGTCCCCGGACTGCCTATCTCTTTAGTTTTCTCTGTAGAGAAGTAAACTATCTTGTTTAAGTCCCCGCTGCCCCCCACCTTTTTTTCTGTTGTATGCAGCTGAACCTAATTCCAAAGGTGATATTTAAAATATATAACAACCAGAATGGCACAGGCAGTGACCAGTTAGAACAGAGCAGACCATGGCCCTAGGGACAGAGCAGCAGCGGGGAGGATTGGGGAATTTGGGGTGGTGGAGCCTGGGACCCCCTATCAA